CAAATGGTTTCTCCGAGCAGGTTTGCTTCTGAAAGAACGGTCAGCTGTGGAAAATAATTCTTCTCTGTTATGGGAATTGTGTTGGTGGTAATGACCTCTTGAAATAAGCCACTAGACAACCTCAAAATTGCAGGTGGGCTGTAATGCAAATTATTATTTTATAAGATAAGATTACACAACACAAATTATAGATAACCTATTTAATGTATGTATTGTGAATAAACCCCAGTTCTTAACTTGAGGTATCTTTTAATAACATCACATGTAATTTGTGAGTCCAATTTCATTCATTTATGATTTATTACACACTACCATATGCCTCAATTATTTAGTTGGTGAGTCATATTTTTCTACGAACTGCATAATATAGAGATCATGATTCAGCATTATTGTTTGAAACTCAACATTTTATGTATGTAGCCTCCCCTGTTAGTACATGCGGAGTATTAGAGATGTATTGCTAGATATATCCGTAATTCAGTACTTATCATTTTGTGAATTAGCATTGTATGAACCTAACATACACCATCAAGCAAAACAAAATTAAGAAATAAAATTAGTCCCATCATCCCCAAAGAGAGTCATGTTTAAAAACTTGTTTTATCCCCAACAAACTCCTATTAAATAAAAGAAGCTTACAAGTTAAATTTGCATTAGCTAGCTCACAGAATTGATATCTGTATTGGAGAATATCATAACATATGAGTGATTCGACACATTCACACATATGCTCAAAAAATATACCGCCTCCATTCTTTTTTAATTGCAACAGTTTGACCTTTGTTAATATTTTGGAAATTCACATTAATAGACATTTTAATAATAATTTATAATTTATACATAATAATTTGATTATACTCGATATCTTTTAGTAAAAAATCATGGTCAAAATAAGGTGTTTAATAGTGCAAAAATGCCAATGTTGCAACTATTAAGGAACGGAGGAAGTAAATAAGAATATTACTTGTAATTTACAAGAATTGTACCTTACCAAAACTTAAAAGTTGTACATAAATAAAAATAGCTCTCACTGTTTTGGGGCCAGAGGGTGTAATGGTAGTACTTAGAAAGCAAAGTCTAAAAGAATATTATTATTGCATATTAAGGGGAAAGTTGAGGAATTACAAGGATATGAAGCAGAGTGACAAATAAAAAGAAAAGCATAACCTGAGAACAGCGTGTGTACAGCATGCATATACTTCCCTTGCTCCCTCCTCATGCAACAGGGCTGCACCTTTGGCGATTGTCCCTAACACCCCACATGATCACCTCATTACCAAATAAAAATTAAACTAGGTAGACATGATGTTTATCAGTTGGCCAAATCATTAAATAGGACTATGAGAAGAGCAAAGGTAGAACATGGGAAAACCAGAGCTAACTGGGCATAATAATCAACAGTAAGTGCATACAGCACAAAGTTTTATACTCTTATTCCATTTATCCCAAACACAAAACAAGAGTCAAGCTTTGAGAACTTATACCAAAATATCCAGTTTTAAATGTCAACTTACATATATAAGTAAAATGCTTGCAAAGCCAAATGATTGTAGTCAACTATTCCAAACAATCCGGGAATTAATGTTATGAAGCAGAAAAATAAAATCAACGGGGTGAACCGTTGCCCAGATAATCAACGATAAATAAATACCGTTGCCCAAAGCCAAAAGGCTAAACCAACTTTTATTCCAAGCTTATCAAGAATGAAGCATACAAGGGGTATAAATAACCCTCTAGGTCTAATAAGAATAGGAATCCTAATTAAATTATTCTAGGAAACTAAATAGAATAGGAAACCTCTAGTTCTAATAGAACTCCTAATTAAATCATTCTAGGAAACTAAATAGAAATAGGAAACCTCTAATTCTAGTAAGAATAGAAGTCCTAAATAAATCCTACTAGGAAACAAATTAAATTAGGAAACAAAATAAAAGGAATAATAAATATTAATTAAACAGCCCGTAACCGGCCCACGGAAGTGGGCCCAAGTCCGGTCCCGCCACATGCTCTTCCCGCTTCATATCAATCCACCCCCCTTAAAATAACCTTGTCCTCAAGGTTGAAAACTCGCTGATTGGGAGCTGAAATTTCCAGACATAGTATAGACTGGAAAATATCCTTCTCCTTCATGAACCCTTTCCTGGCCGGTTATTTCGCAGAATTCATGCTGCTTGAGGTCCAACTCTTCATCCTCCTCGGCTATCATTACCCGCAGCTGCTTAAAGGGACAATCATGCCCTGGCGTGAATGGTTTCTTGCATCTAAAGCATAATCCTTTTGCCCTCAAATCTGCTAACTCTTTTGGCGCAAGACGGGTGAACTGGGATCGTGTCGTAGGCTGCCCAGACAGCCCTGACTTTGTCCCCGGAGGCTGTCCACTATCCTTCGCAAAGCTGCCCCCTGAGCCCTGTAAGCTGCCACCGGTGGCAGTCAACGGGGGACCCGTGTTTGCCCTTACAAAACTGCTGGAACGTACCCCCGAAGAATGATAATTCAGGCTGCCACTTTCTCCACTTTGGACGGACAGATTATACTCCACTTCGCGAGCTAATTCCATAGCCATCTCCAGGTTGTTTGGTCGAAGTAATCGCAGCGAGCTTCGGATTATCTCCTTAAGCCCACTCATGTAATAGCCCAAGTAATGATCGTCAGTTAATCCGGGTACTTGACTGGCGAGTTGTACAAACAAAGTATTGTAATCTTCCACTTGCCCAATTTGTTTAACGCCAGCTAGCCGCTCAAATCTGTTTCCTTGATATCGGGAATCAAATCTAGCCACCAAGGCTTGCTTAAATTCCTCCCAGGATATGCCGGGTTTGCGCGCCTTTAACCATGTCACCCAATAGAGGGCTGCCCCTTCCATAGAAACCCTAGCCGCTGCAATTTGTCTATCCGGTGGGGTCCTGTTGAGCTCGAACTGCTGCTCCACTCTTGCCAGCCACCCAATTGGGTCTTCACCGTCGAATGAGGGAAGCAGTGTCGTGGATGCGCTGCGCGGTCCGCCCTCGTCGGTGAAAGCAGTCGCGATGTGGGCGGAGGAGCCGCTCTCGATGGTCGTGCTTGGAGACTTCGCTGGCGATACCATGGCCTTTGCGATTGCTGCCAGGGATTCTGCGATTTCCACAAGCCGGGCGGCCTGCTCCTCCTGTTTCCGAGCCAGTACATCCAGTTTCTCTCCTTGTGAATCGAGCTTTTGATTTACCAGGGCCTGTTCAGCCTCCAATTCCGTCAGTCGTTCGTTCTGAGTTCTTGTCATCTTGGCGGGACGGGGATCCGGCAGGTCGGACCAATTGTTATGAAGCAGAAAAATAAAATCAACGGGGTGAACCGTTGCCCAGATAATCAACGATAAATAAATACCGTTGCCCAAAGCCAAAAGGCTAAACCAACTTTTATTCCAAGCTTATCAAGAATGAAGCATACAAGGGGTATAAATAACCCTCTAGGTCTAATAAGAGTAGGAATCCTAATTAAATTATTCTAGGAAACTAAATAGAATAGGAAACCTCTAGTTCTAATAGAACTCCTAATTAAATCATTCTAGGAAACTAAATAGAAATAGGAAACCTCTAATTCTAGTAAGAATAGAAGTCCTAAATAAATCCTACTAGGAAACAAATTAAATTAGGAAACAAAATAAAAGGAATAATAAATATTAATTAAACAGCCCGTAACCGGCCCACGGAAGTGGGCCCAAGTCCGGTCCCGCCACATGCTCTTCCCGCTTCATATCAATTAAGTTCTGGTTTACAGCTGACCATTCATAACTTGTAAAATATTGTAAATTGATTTAGTTGAGTAAAAATTAAAAGTTGTATTGCACTCTAATATGAATCTTTTTAAGGACATATGGAAGATATAGCAATAGCCACTAGAAAATTTTAATCTTGAGGGACAAAAATCATTGGTTTTGAAAAATGCATGAATAAAAAACATTAATACTTAAAGATAATAAAGCATATGGGGCTCTTTATGCCTCTAAGATGAAAAATGTGTCTGATTTGCAAATTCCGGGTTTAACTCACCTGCGGTGTCAATCATATTTTCCTTTGACATCACCAATCAGATTCATAACCTGCAAGAGAATAACTTTATCAACCACAAGTGTACAACAGTCCATAGGCATGCCTGCCCAATAAGATGCAACAATAGAGCCTGTAGTGTCATTTTCCACTTGACTGTTTCTGAGAAAATAGATAAAATACATTCACAACTGCATACTATCATACTGAGATTTTCTGTTTCTTCTTCCCAAAATTTAAACTTAAATGGAAGCATCAGGTAGACTTTGAATGAGATATCACATTTCATGTAAATGCAGCGTAAACTTTATAATAGGGAGGCATAAGAAATGGGGGTGTGAGATACTGGGATGTTAAACCATCTACCTCAGCAACATTGTGCTCTTGTCTCCTTTTGTCCACAATGGCTAGGGGTGCATCAGATAACTTTTTTGCGAAAGCACGTGCTCTAGCAACTCCTCCAACATCAGGAGAGACCACTACCAAATCATCTGAGCAAATTTTTTTGTTGGCAAGATAATCAAGAACAACCGGCTTGTACATGCAAAAATGATTTCATTTTCAGTATAAGGCGAGATCACCATTAATAGATAGTTAGATCTGCCTAGCATTACCTAACAGTATACATGATCAACTGGAATGTCAGTAACCCATGGATTGCCCAGAATGAAGGTCATAAGCCAGAACACGATCTGCACCAGCTTCTGTTATAATGTTTGCAACTAATTTGGCAGCAATGGACTCACGGCCTTGTGTCTAAAACGAAAAACACATTGGGCATATCAAAGCCTATTCTAAAATTCATTGAGCCACATCAAAAACTGCCACCCTTTAGACCGAGGAGAAAATAAAAGAGGAAAATATTTAGAACTGAAATTTTAAAACAATTTATATATTCTATTTTGATCAGAAAGATGAGAATTGTTCACAATAAATGGAAACAAGACAATAAAGGAGAATGAAATTCATCTGTAATATAAAACAATATTGCCTTTCTATCAGCTCTAGCATATCCAAAGTATGGAATCACTGGAGTGATTTTCTTGGCTGAAGCCCTACGGCATGCATCTATCATTATCAGAAGCTCCATAAGATTTTCATCAACTGGAGGACAAGTGGACTGCACCAAGTAGACATCACTGCCTCGAACACTCTCTTGTAGCTGCACATAAATTTCACCATCTGCAAACTTCTTAATATGGATCTTTCCCAGGTCAAGGCCCATATACCAGGCAATTTCCTAATAAATCAAATACTGTTTCATTAGTCGGTTAGAGTATCTAAATGCTAGTTTGAAGAAGTCAAGCATTAAAGACTGAGGACAAATAAATTTATTACAAAGGAAAAGTGGCTATAACCACTGACCGCCGTAGTAAAGAAATGGGGTGATACAATCACATTTACATATTCCTGAGATCACACATTATCAAGCGCTCAAACTTTATGAAAATGATGGATAGATATGGAAACCAAAACTAGTAAACACTGAATAAAAAGAAAGAAAAAGAGGTTGGGATGATTAAAGACCTTTCAGCCAAAATCCTATTTTGTGAGGTGAAAAATCGATGTATTCATTGTTATAGGAGTGAAAAGGTAGATATACTTTTTCTAATGGTATGGGCAAATGGAGGATTAAATCTGAACTCTGAAGCCTCCTGATATTGATTGATTTATTTCTTTCTTATATACAACAACATTACCCCAATGCCGCAAAGGCTCCCACTTATGGTGGGGTAAAGGGAGGTCAGATGTACGCACCTTTACCCCTGTACTAAATCACAGAGAGATTATGTTAGGTCCCTGTTTTTCTAGTCTAGAATGTGTATGTATGGAAGATAGATCTGTGTTTGAAGCTTTCCATTGATGTGAAGGTTTTACAGAATGATATGAATGTCTAAGCGTAAAAACCTTACACGCAAATAGGCACTGTGGCACTAGGAATGTTTCGAAAAGCTTAACCTAGCCTTTCCCTTAAGGCATATATATAGCCTGACGGGAAAGGTAGGTTTCACAATTATTTGGGCTCCTTTTTCTAGGAGGCCCATACCTAAAAAGGTATAAAACCTTTTATTACAAATTGCCTTAAAAGGCCTATTCATTATTCTAGCTAGTCTATTTAATTAAAATGCTAAATATAAAGAGCTAAGAAACATTGATCACAATATAATGAAAATATCTCTAACAATCTCCCCCTTTGTGATCAGATGTTCTTGCTTCTTCTTTTCTTCACTTCTGAGCTTTAAAATAATGCTTTCTAAGATTTAGTGCATGCTCGTAGTTTCTGAGAGACCTTCTATCATCGATTTGCTTATTGATGGCTTTCAAAATTTCATCAACTCTTTCTAATTCTTTGATTTCTTCCTTTGTAGCTTCTGTTGACTTTTTGACAAGTTCTTCTCTCTTTGATTTCAGCCTATTTCTGATGATCTTTAGTGTTCCGTCGCAATATTTGTTTATTTCTTTGATAATCAAAATGCGCTTCTTTCCTTCATGGTTCAGGTAGATGACTGAGGCTGGATTATCGAAGATATGATCTTCTGGGAAGTCTTCTATTCCTGGTCTGTCAAGTTCTGGCTTTGTAAGATTCACTTTGGGATAATTACTTTCCAGACCCATCTGAAGATCATGACCTCCATGGTATCGAATTTGTCTCATCATGAACCTTTTTATGGCTTCAAATCCTTCTCTTGCAAGTCTATCTTTATGGACTGGTAGCTCTCTGCATCTCATAAACATTTGATAGACGTCGTCCATATGTAGCAGAAAGAAATCATTTTCTTGACAAGTGAATGTTGATCCATCAGTTCTTTGTAGATGAAAGACCATAAATTTGATCTTCTCCAAGTATTCTTCTGTTACTTTCAGGATTGTTTGCACTGGACATCCGCTTGTTGCAAGATTATGATTCAAGATTTGTCGTCGTTCTCCCGTGGATCTGTGTCCGAGCATGTATAAGTTTCCACCTCTGTCTCTTCCTTTGAGGTGATTGATGCCACGCATTCTGAGTTCTCTGTAGGTCTTGATCTTCTCAGGTGTGCGCCAAATTCGCTCTCTGATTTCTTCCAGGAAGGGGTTCTTGATCCTGACACTATCTAGTGGTTTTGGAGTAGTCTTTTGCTTAGTTGCAGATACAGGCTCTTTGTGTTTTTCTCCTTCTTTGATCTCATCATTGTCGAGCCCAATCATTTGTGCATGATATTTATTGAGAAACTCTCTGAGCTGCCAACTTCTACACATTTCGTACTGCTCCGCCTCCACCCTAAGATCATCCCATTCTGTCCACTGACGGGGCCATTTGTCATAGACTAGAATTTCTTCAAGTTCATCGGGTGTCTGATCATCAGGTTGGTTGGAGGGAGTCTGCTGTTGTTGTGGCGCTCTGTCAATAGTAACTCCGGGATCACTAGGATTACCCGGTATCATCAGATTAGAACTAGGTTCTTTCTGATGGCCTGAATAGAAAGGTGTACTCGAAGTAGCAACCTCAGGACTTCCACTCCATCCTTGGTCTACATCTATGAAAGATGAGCCTAGGAGTGTTGTTTCTAGCTCGACCGGGCTAGATGTGGGTGAGTTGGCTGTTTGGCTTTTGTGTTGAGTGGATGGTGGGGGCTGATTGTTCGAGGATTCAGGTTGGTTGGATTGCGTAGAAGGTTGGCTTGTTGACGCATCACGCTCAAGTATCCTTTGTCTCTTGTTCTCCCCCTCATGAGGATCCGAGTCATCGGGGTCCTCATGCGAACGTTTGTGACCGAGGAGACTATCACGGCATGAACTGTCAGGCTTAAGGATCCAAAGAAGGTCTTTTTGTTTCTGGGTTAGGTTGCCTTCTTCGGTAGCTAGTAGTTGATCTAGCATAAGGGTTTCGAGTACCTCGAACGGTAAAGTTTTAGGGTCAGGAAAAGGTGTGGTCGAAGTAGGGGAGGACACTAGTTCTGTATCCTGGGTTCCCCTTGAAGTAGTAGGTGAGTGAGGTAGGGTAGTGGATGGTTCAGAGGTTTGTTGGGTAGGTAAGAGAGGAAGTTGTTAGGTTTGTTGGGTATGTGAGGATGATGGTTGGGGTTGGATGATGTCATTAAGCAGCGCCGGGGTGTTCCTGAATTCCTGTGCCCGAGCGGTTATTGCTTCGTGCACCCATGGTTTAATGGTGGAATCCATGAAACGCTGCAAGATGACAGAAAGGTCGGTAGGGTCAGGGTTACCAGTTACAGGGGTAGTAACCGTTGTCACAGCATCAGTAAAGATTACCGAAGTGTGGCCTGCAGATAATGATTGAGTTATCTGTTGTGCAGCAGGACTTCCGATCATCATCGACGTATCTCCGATCGTTGAGGAAAAGTAGAGTGCACCTGTCGTGTGCAGTGGTGTGAGCAGTGTATGTGTCCTAGAAAATGTTGAAAATGTTGGGATGGTGGAAACTAGACTCAATGTGCTAGAAGGAGGGGTAGTGGTCTGGGGCGGAAGACCACAAAGGAAATCCTCAGCTGCTTCGTAGGGAGACAGCGAGGTGGGTATAATATCCCCTATATGTGAAACTACTACCTGTTGGGAGGCAGTAGAGTGGCTAGGTGAGGCTTGTGCATGCGCAGTTGGGCTAGATGCTGCGTCTTCTACTCGGAAACTGAAAATATCAGTTTCTGCACCTATGGGGTTAGCCCGGTTTATGGTGTCTAGGTCAGAGCAGCTGTCATACAAAGCTAACTCTTCTGCCAGGTTGCTTGCAGTTTGCACACTTTGCACAGGAGTAGATGATGAGGCATGGTCATGGCGAACCTTGGAGCGAGTCTCTCTGATGATGTTTCCTTAAGTGTCCTTGATTTGGTGAGACTGCTCCTGTGTTGCAGCCCGAGAAAGCCTGATAACGAGTCGTCCTTTCTTAGCGCGGGCTTTCTCGACTTTCTTGCCCTTTGCATTGGCGTTGTTGTCATCCTCATCATCGTCATCGTCATCGTTCCTAGCCTTGCTCCCAGAGCCCTCATCGTCAGCGTCTTGTGTTGTGGCTACGCTTGGCGAATCATAGGAAGTCTCTTCAGCACGGGGGTGGCCCTCAGCAGACATAGTCTGATCATCATGGGGCCGGCTTGCCACTGGTCTCTGTGGCTGGGTTGAACTCTCAGGACCCTCACTTTCTCTCGGCTGACTCCCCGGGGTAGGCTCAGGGGGGTTTATCTGAGCCATAGGGAGTATGACACCATTCTCCTCGCTGTAGCGTATAACATGTGGGTCATTGCGACCGGCTAACAGGAGGAGAGGGACAGGAATAGGTAATGGTACCAGTGAGCGTACCTCTGGCATTCTCTTCAGATATTGGAGGGCTGGAGTGCTGACATTCTCAGATGATTTGCGCCTTTGAATCGTTGGAATTGTTCTGCAGAAGTGTCGCACCAGCAATGAAAACCATCTCATGTATGGCAGATGTTTGATCAGATCAGTGTCAAATTTTCTTCTTCGCATTTCCAGAATGTCACCCCAAATGAGAGAGGCGAAATCGTAGTTCTTCATGAAAGCGATGCCATGGAAGATGTAGACGAGGTAACCGCTGCATTTGTCGAAGCCACTGTGCTTAGATGTGCAGCACTTGTTCAGTGTGGCCATAAGTGTCCTCCATGGTCGTGGGAATCGTGCTGTCTTGATCGCGGACATCAACCGGAGGGGCTCAGCGTGGCCTAGAGTGATCATGTCTTCAAATATTTGCGCTTCTGAGGCCAATGCATCATAATGTTCCTCCTCCGGGATCTGTAGCACTTGTTGGACTAGCTCCTTTGTGATTGTAACTCTGGTGTTATGGATCGTGGAAGCTAGCACATCGTCGAGTTGTCTACCATTGTCGTCAACGTCCTTGTCAAGTGTACCCCAGAATTGTTGAAGGTACACCTGAGGGACTTCAGCGTTTTCGCTCAGGGCCTTCCACAGTTTATGGCCTTTCAAAATGGAGACGACCACGTCATCTTGGCATGAGAAGACTTCTGGATCGAGTTGTGAGTTGTTCTCTTTGATCGGGATCCAGTGTTCCCTAACATATATCATGTTGATTGGAGTGTTGACAGCCATTTCAGTCTGAAAATGATAAACAGATTAGAGCATTTGATCGAAATTGGCTAAGTCCACAATTTCTTTTCACTTGGGCCCTTTATTGTTTTTTTTTTTTTTGAATTGGGGCCCAATTTAAGAATGGTTATTGTTCTTGGTTGTCAATGCTGGGCCTGGACTTGATTATTGTGGCCCATTTGAGAAAATTTC